TCTCGAGGGCTCCAACAGGCATAGCAGAGACAGCCAAACACTCTTATTTGCTCGTATCGAGGTGTTGTCCCGAACAGTACCTCATACGGAGTCTTCCTGTCAAGTACGAAAGAAGGTGTCCTATTTATCAAGTATCCGGTGGTCAAGACACACTCTCCCCAAAAACGAATAGGCAAACCTGCTTGAAACCTCAATGCTCTCGCAACATTCAAAATATGCCTATGTTTTCTCTCCACTCGACCATTCTGTTGGGGCGTTCCAACACAGGAAGTTTGATGCAGAATGCCATGAATCTCAAAGTACGACTTCAAGATTTTAAACTCTATTCCATTATCATTTTGAACAGTTCTGACTTGCTTGCCAAATTGGCGTTCTGCCATGGCATAGAAATTCTCAACAATATGTGCTAGTTCACTTTTTTCAAGTAACAGGTAAACCCACACAACACGAGAATAATCATCAACAATGGTTAGAAAGTAAACGGCACCACAAGAAGCAGGTACTTTATAAGCACCCCATGTATCACAATGAATTAGAGAAAAACAATCATCAGTTTTATGTTTACTTTCAGGAAAAACTTCCCTAGTTTGTTTTGTTCTGTAACAAACATCACATGGCTTATCACTTTCAGGTCTACTGTTTAATTTATCTACCTTAGGAAGAGAAGATAATATCTATTTAGATGGATGCCCTAATCTGCGATGCCACAACTCCCATTCACTCATTCCACTTGTTCTATTTGCCCGAACCGGTGCCACTCCTCTAAATTGATAGACCCCATCACACTGCTCACCCGCTCTAATCAGAGTCATTGGGTCACGCACAGCTTGTTAGTAAAAATGACAGTACAATTTTATCTCTTGCAATAATTTAGCTACAGAAATAAGGGTGCAGTTCATTCTTGGTACGAAAAGCACATGATGTAAATAAATATTTCCACCCAAATGCAAAGTCCCTTCCTTCACTGCGGTAGTTTGCTTCCCATTAGGAAGTTCCACCGGACACGGTGTAATATTCCGAACTTCAATCAATAAATTAATTTCTCCAGTCATATGGTGCGATGCCCAGGAATCATTTATCCAATCAGTAGAATTTTCTTACCAAAAAGTTTTTCACTAGATTTATGTGAATTCATAATATTGAGAAGGGTTGTCCATTGATCTCCACTCAGCCTCGGAAACTCGCTGCGGTCATGATCATTTGTGGTTCCAACTTTTTGTCCTCCAGTCTCTCTTCCCGCTGCTTGGGCAGCGTTTGCCCAAACCACTTCGCCCGCGGCCTGCTCCTTTCCCGGTTGAGCATGGTCTATCTCCCCACCATTCTGGATATCTGATCACCTAGAAACAGTCCTTTGCTTCATGTCCGGATTTTCCACAGTGTGTATAGCTCACGCTTTTATCCTTTGTACGTGCAACAACTGCTTTTGCACCAGCATGTACTGCAAAACCCACAACATCACTTCGTTATTCTTTGCTCTTGGCTATACTTTGATGCCTTTCCTCTTGAATGACCATTGCATAAACATGGTTCAAATTCGGCAATGACTCTATGCTCAGAATATTCGAAACGCACGGTGCCATAAGTTGCGTCGTCAAGGCCCATCAAGAACTGATGTACCCTCTCTTCTTCTCGCTTCTTTTCAAGTATGGTCACAATTTTGCAGTTGTAACCGCTACAGCGACACGGAGGTATTGGATCATATTCTGCCAGCGCGTCCCACATGACCTTCAGCTTCCCGTAGTAAGCCATCACTGCTTGTCCCTGTTGTTTACAAGTAGCCAAATCAGCCTTCAATTGATGGATTCACGGTCCATTCCCGATAGAAAATCTCTGTCACAGATCCTCCCACAAGTCTTTCACACTCTCCGTCTATGATATAGTAGTTCGCAAGGTTGGTTCGATTGTATTGAAAATCCATGCAACCAGCATTGAATTCACCATCCACCAATCTTCGATATCGGTCGAATCATCTGTTGGTTTACCCAACTTTCCGTCAATGAACCCGAGCTTTCTCTTTGCTCTGAGGGCGTTCCTCATAGATCTCGCCCATTCCTCATAGTTTTCACCTTTCAATTGGACATGTGAGATGATAATTCCAGGGTTGTCAAACGGGTGCAAGTAGTATGGCGAGAAGATGGCCATGTCCTTCCCTGCACCTTTCTTGTTGTCTTCTTCTCCACCGGTCATGGTGGAAAATCTGTCGACAGAAAGCTCCTGGCTGTGATAGGCGAGTCTAGACTCGTCCAAGTCTTTGATCTCAAGAAACAGATTCCCCTGCGTCAGATGCGCGGCCACTCTCGCTCGGTTCGACTCGTTCGGTACCCAGGACTGGGTAAACTCTTCCTGTTCTCAGGTGCGGCGATGATGCTCTCGTCAAGTTCTGGGATTTCTGCAGTCGGACTCGGGAATAGCGCCAGAGAGGTAGAGGGCTTCTTCAAGATCGACTTCGATGGTTTTTGGCACCAGGGTTCTTTTGCATGCCTTGATAACCAACACCACAGTAGGCGAAGAAAATGGCAATCTTGCGCTGCTTGTACCTCCTGTGATCGCAGAACTTCTTCGCGTTGAATGAAGCCGTCACACACTTGAATCCGAAGCGTCAATATAGAACCAGCCGGGAGGGTCGATATAGAACCGACGAAGACGACCTGGCCGACGACGCCTTTATGGGTGCTGGGATGTCGCTTCAGAGACTGAACCGATTCACTTTCAAAACCACAAGGACTATGTCCGATGTGGGTTTGCTTCGCCCAGGAGGAGTGCAGTGCAAAGTTACGGGTGCAGTGCCACTGCTCTGTTTCCGCTTGCCGACAGAGGAATGACGACAGACCCTCATCTTTTTCTTCTCGAAGCACCCCGGCTTTGATACCATGAAAAACTTTGTGGAAATTGTTGTGATTTTATTATGCAAGTTACATCCTATATATACAAGTAGGAGATTCAGTTTCAGTAGGAATCGATTTTTCAAATACATCTAGGAATACCAATTACACATGCATGCAAGAAGGTTCCCAACGAAGGTTGCGTTTCGGTATGAAGGTTACGTGGAGATTCGGTTTCCCAATAATTGGCACTCCTGTATGCTCATCTTGCATACAAATTCTGGGGGTCCCAGGTCCTGCATCCACCAAGAACATTTCTTCCCTTAAGCGTAAAACTGYAGATTGTGAGGCGTTTCCACTACATAAGAAAAAACTAGAATTAGATGGTGGAAATGATCGACTCAAATAGATGCTCATCATAAGCTTTTTTTGTATTCCTCCTCTTCCTATTGATCAGAAGCATCCAGCAGCGCCACGCCAGTAGAAAGAGTTAAGCTACTAAGCAAAGCTGCTATTGGGGAACTTGATAGAAGCGATTTACCGCTTCCGCCTCTCTAGGCTTTACAAGAGCTCCTCCTATATAGAATGCAAAATTCGCCTTCTCCCCCTCCACTATAAGAAATCCGAAAGGTAGCTAAGGTTGTAATCACTGTAGCTCCCCAAAAGCTCATCTGACACGAGGTGGTACGTATCCTATAAAAACTGTCACAATCATTAATAGGAAGCTCCGAGACACCGAATGGATTCCCTAGGATTGCTATAACTTGCATGATATAGACCATGAAAAATATGAAGGTGAACCACAATGACAGAGCACAACCAAATAAGATAAAGGCTTGGTAGCGAATTTTTCCAATAAGCAACTTCCTTATTAGGACAATGATATTGAATCACTCTCAAACAGGGGTGGCGGGTGGGTACAGAAAGACTAATACAATCTTTTAATTTTCCGAGTGATAAAGACGTAGGATAGAAGGTATAGGATGGAACCGAGTTGAGCCTATGGGGGCAAAAGTGAAATATAAATAGTTTAATTTTTGGGTGAAACGTGTTAACCTTTAATATAAATAAATAATAAAAATATAAAAATGAACATAAATTTTGAGAAAGAAAAACATCCAAGCACATGTATTATATCATATATTTATCATATTAAACAAAAATTAAGTTTGACATATCATTGACTATTTTTATACACAAAATACAAAAAAAATATAGAAAAAATTGAACACATCTATAATTCCATATTTACTCTACTATTAAAAATATGAATAAGATTGTGAAACTTTATTTTGATTAAAATATTCATATTTGAATTTATTCTCTATTTAATTGTAAGGTTTAAATTGTAAATTGAACTATTATTTTTCATTTTATTCAATTCGCTCAATTTAAATCTTACATTTTTTTTGATAAATGGACACAAAAAAGATAAAACATTACAAAAAGAAGTGGCTAGCCAAGTAGATAGGCCTGTTAATGATACATGAAATTTCACAACTCTATCAGATTATCACATAATTGGATGATGTGTTTATGTAATCAGATTTAGATTTTGCAATTTGTATAATAAACAAAAAAACATAAAATTTATAGAAAATTTTGGATATATTATTGCGACCATTATCATCACCTACAATTGCCACTTGCAAAGTACATGCACACTTACTAGTGATAACAAAAGGCACAAAAATGTTAAAAATATCCATGCAATAATTATTGAGGCTAGTTTTTACAAAAACACAACAACAACAACAAACAAAGAGAACTTTAAAATCGGAAAAATAAACATTTTGGTGAAAAATAACTGTATGGGTATTTTGGACATTTTCATGTCATTAGAAGGTTTTAACAAAAGGAGTTTATTGCAACTATGTCACAAAGTTAAGGGGTGGTGATTGTAATTATCAAACTTGAGAGGAAGTTTCAACAACGGTCAGAAAATTGAGGGGAGGTTTCAGCCATTTACCCAAAAACTAAAAACCCTTTTAAAGAATTGCTTGTTAGAGTTGCAACTGTTTTACGTTACTCGGCGCTATAGACAAATGGGACCCATGAAGAGTTGCACCACTCAATACACCTTTTCATCGTCCCGTCATGTCTGTAGCTCGTAGAATTGAAAGGGTTGCATATAAACAAACAGTTTCTGACATTCAGAAAATATTAAAGGAAATTTCTGCGTCTCATCACCGTGCTCGCGTCCCTCTCTGGGTTGGGCTTGGGGCTCCCCATCCTTCCCAACCAAAAGAAACTGAGAGAAAGCAAAAAAGGAAAAATAAAAAAAATTCATCTAAATTCAGCTCAGAGATAGATAGATAGAGGGAGGGTCTCCATTTGAATCTCTAGATTGCAGTACTTTGCAGCTCTGGTTCGATCTCTCGGAGTCGCTACTCGCTAATGCGATGCGCTTCTGATTGTTTCATGTCTCACCATAACAAGCGCCCGAACTGCAACGCCAGCAACAGTAGCAGCAGCAGCGGAGGCTCTTTCTCGAGCATGAAGAAGGCTAAGTCTCAAGCTGTGGCTTGCTCTCTGGAGAAGAATGGCCTCCAGCAGCAGCAGCAGCAACAGCAGAACCATGCCCAGCACCATCTTTTTGACGACGACGATTCTTCTATGATTGTCGACGATGATATCAAGGTCGACGCCGTTGATGCAACTCCAATAGCTCTAGGCGTTGGCTCTAGCGGAACCCCTCACGGGGTTGCTGCCAATTTGTCGAGAAAGAAAGCAACGCCCCCTCAACCAGCCAAGAAGCTCGTTATCAAGTTGGTTAAAGGTATGAGTAATTTCACTTTTTTTGCTTCAATTTGGTGGTTTTGTTCGTTAGCCAATAACTTAGGTTTAGCTGTATAATTTTTTCTTCTTTCATCAATTTTCCAATCCAAATTTGCCTGCTGCTCCTCTCTGAGCCTTTTTGTTTTTTGTATTGGCATCTGTAAACCACAATTTTGTGCCAAAGAAAGAAATGATTGTGAAGTGGCATCCTTATTGAATTTTAGAAATTTGCCATTTACATGCCAATTTGGCTTTGGGTTCAGACAGTATTGAATTGTTACTGGGCAGTACACGAGACAAACGATTTTTTATTTGGGTGAAGTTGTTAATGGAACCTAAAAATTGTCAATTTTGGGAACTGAATTGTTTTATTGACGTAAGGGTTCTGATCATTCTTGTATTTCAGCTTTGTTTAGGATTATTGCCACCAAGAACATTATCATTCCATTATCATTCTTGTATTCTTCTTCTTTTAACAGTTAAGTAATTTAAGTGCTTTGTCATGGTGTCACTGGCAACTGTTGGTTCATAGCTAATTGACAAGGTGGGGGCAAATATTCCTTTTGTTCTTTTTATTTTCAATATTAATGCTTTAAGGTTTATCTTTTGTACACCTGAAAGAATTAGAGAGGTCTACTGGCTTGGAGTTTTTTTTCCTGCTCAAGTAGCTTTGTGAAAGATAACCAAAATTAGATGAAATAGTCATTTGTCAAAGCATCACACTTGAGCTGGTCAATGCGGTGGTCCTTGCAGGACCTGCTGCCTGCTTGGCATATTCATGGTTTGAGCTCTAAAGGCAGAAAAGAGCAGGGGTTGGAAGCTGTGATGTGTATAATCTGGTCAGCTTGGAATACAAGAATCTTTAAATCTAAAACAAGGATTGTGGAAAAGCTCATTAATGCATCTATTGGCAGAATTGGGTCTTGGGCCTCAGTTTCTAAGGAGTTCCCCCTGCAACCCCCTTTGGGGCCTCATTATGCTGTTGATTTAGTGATTAATTGAGATGTACTGCCCTGAGTGTGGGGCTACTTAGATGGAACTGCCTTGGAGGGTCTGTTGTATCATTTTCCTTTTTTAATAAAGTTTATCTTTCTCAAAAGGAAAATAAAAACAAATCATTGTTTGTCAAAGTTCCCCCCTGCAACCCCCTTCTAATGTATTATAATGCCTTGCAACTATGCTGTTTTCTATTAATAAAATTCTTTCAGTTATCTAATAAAAAAGGCAAAAGAAATCATGTTTAAGTTATCGACTGAGAGAAGTCCATGATGGTTTTTGATTGGAGGTTCTTTGCTTTGCTTTGGAAAGAAAGGGGTATGGAAACTGATGGAGTAAGTAGATCCAAGGTTTTAATTGGTTGGTGCATTTCTCCATCTTAGTTAATTGATATGCCAAAAATTTCTGCTAAGTTGGGAAGGTTTTAGTTGATTGTATGTGTGTGTATTGAGTTTGAGTCCCTCTCTCTCTCTCTCTCTCTCTCTATATATATATATATATATATCTAGAGTTGCAGTCTTTCTCATCTCTCCCTCTGTTTCAGATTTTCTAATCTCTCATAATTCATATGGACTTTCTTTACTCGCCACCATTCACCCAATTAGGGTTTTCTTCTTCTTATCCTACATCAGTAACAATACACGATCTATTATCATTGATAATCAGGTTTTGTGTTCCATTTTCCCAGGTCCTTCTTTGCTCCCCTATTTCTAACCTAGTGACTTTTGTATTACTGGATTAGAGTATTTGGTTTGCAATTGCTGCACCTAGTTTGATTCTTTTTATGGGAGGTAATACATACTTGTGCTACAAGAATTGTTAACAGGTTAGAAATCCCTATCTCCCCAGATCTGTATAATGTGTATAAGCTATAGGTAAAGATTAAGTTCCTATTTATTTATTACCCCATTGCTTGGTATTTATAGAACTCTTTCTATATATTGGGCTGCAACTGGGTGGTAGTCACCGTAGTTTTTCCATGAGGAGACTATTTGGTTTAATTGGGAACTTGTTATAGGTGGAGGTGTTTGGTTTGGGAGGATTGAGGGATAAAAGTGTTTCTTTATTGGGTAAATAGTTCTGAGATTATAAAGAGATACAGGGAACCTTGGCATTTAGTGATAGAAAGCATCCATGGCATTAGTAATCTTAGTTGTTAAGGTGTTGCTTAGGCACCTGCCTAAGCAATAAGGTGCCCTTAGTGAGGTGCCTAGCTTTAAAACCTTGACTTTATGTAAGAAAGGTACGTGCCTAGGTGATAAAGTCACAAGTCAGGCGCCTTATTATAATATTGTATTGTTACTATGGCTGCATCTTATTAGTTTGTACCAGAGCAGTAGTCTTCTGGTCTGTTTAAGAAGAAAAAATGGGATATGATTCTAAGAAAAGGTCCAAGTTAGAGTCATTATCATAGAAAACATCACAATGAAGGTATCTATTGGGGGGAAAACATCAAAGTCAAGGTACCCACTTGGTTAAAACAGTAGAAGTTGCTGATAACTATTTCTGATGTATACTTTGTGGAGAAAAGTGGAGGTTGCCTACACTTTGGTCTCCACTGTCCAAAAAATTTGGGCTACCATCATTCTTATCCAGAGACTTATTGACTGACCCACGTGGTGTCTCTTCATCTTCGTTCGACGTCTGTACATTTTTTTTGATGAATTCGACGTCTGTACATTATTCGAGACTTTCTGGCTCGAATGCTTTTTTCCACGTGTAACCCAACCTTCAAGGATGTTGACATCTTCTTCCTTAGAACCTTTCATCCAAAGAGTCATTTCACCTTCCAGCAGAACCCAAACCTTAAGCCAACAACCATTAATGAGGATCTCTACGCATCTAGGAATTTTTTCGAGCTTCAGACCATTGACCCTAACTCTTGCTGCATGAAGATCTTGGAGATTAAAGGCTATCAACAAACCACCTAGAACTTGAATAAATTTTACCAGAGTTTCCTCATTCTAGTAATTGAAGGGAAGCCCTACCAACTGGAGCTTGAGAGGACTTTCTGAGATGTTATTCTGGTTACAAGATGGAAACCAGTTCTCTACCCTTACTCTTCGACTGGAGTTTCCACCGACTCAGCATTTGGGGTCACTACTTCTTCACCGGCTCCATAAAACATAGCCCATCAAAAGGTCTAATTATAACATTACCTTTTAAATTAAATCTCTTCGCAACCGCCCCTGCAACATTCTCCCAATCTTGGACTCTCTTGTCTACAGTCAAAATCAAGTTCTTCTCCCACTCTCCATCCGCTACTTCTAAGAGCAGTCTTCGACTCCTAGAGTCACTGCAAACTATGGCTTGAGGTCCTTTGACGCTTTGTTCTTCATCCTTTGAATTATTTTTTGAGTTATCTCTGTAACTCTGCTTATCACTGATTTCTGAGCCACCACAAAGATTTGAGCTTTGTCTTCTATCTACACTTAGTAGATGCTCCTGCAGAGCCTCTGAGGACATTCTCCATCCTACTCTCTCTCTACCCTCTGGCACACACACCATGTGTTTTCTATTATCCCCACCAACTTCCATAATCGCTACAAACCAACTCTTAGTATTTCTTCTCAGCTCAACTTCATAACCCTTCCCAGTTGCCTTTACTTTGCTCTTCCAGCCTATTTTTTTAACAGAGAATCGCCCCATCCAAGAAACCCTTCAGTCATATGATCACTTCCTCGGCCACTAAAATGGTGGCTTTATTTATTTATTTTTGGTCAGTAAATGGTGGCTTTATTTTCTTCTCTGATCTTTAACCTTTCCTTACCCTCATATCCGCCTTTTTCGAAACGGAGCTTTTGGCTTCAACTTTCACTTCCTTTCTCCAGAATACCATCCGATCTGATTATGGAAAGCTTTCCTTTGGTTCCTTTCTTTCCAGATTGTCCAAAGTCCAAACCAAAGCTGCTCTTATTGTCCTCCACATAATCCTTCATCTTCTGTTGTCTCAAGAAGTCGGAATTGAACAAGCTTACTACATCTTGTGGTGGGACTCATCTGCAACCAAGAGATAGGAGAAAGTCATACAAATCGGCTTGATGCAAGATCAACTTCTTTGATGTCAATATGATGCAAGAGGGACTTGTAAGAAAAGAGAGAAAATAAAATAACCCAGGAATTAGCACATAGGCTCCTCTAGGAATTATCACCGATAGGAACCATTGGGAATCAACACTATAAAGAAAATTAAAATTACTCCAACAATCCAGCTAGCAGATTCACCTCTTCACTCCCTAAATTTATTCCTGCTACACAACTCTTGCCCCAATTAATTTTAAGGTTGGAGATCCTCTAAAATTTATGTACTATCCTTTTTAGGTTCATAAGTTCTGCTTTCCCCTCTCAAAACAAGATATTATCATCTGCAAACTCTAAACATATTGTTAGCATCTGCCCTTATGATCAATTCACTCAACACATCGATTACCAAAGTAAATAGGAAGGAGAAAAGGGGATCTCCTTGTCTAAGGCCCCTTTTGGCAGGGGAAAAAATCTCTTGCTACTCCATTTACCAAAATTGAGAAGTGACATGAAGAAATGCAGCCGTTCACCCATCCACACCATCTTGCTTTGAAACCCCTACGCTTGAGAATGTCCATCAAAAACTTCCAGTTCACCATGTCATAAACCTTTTCTAAATCCAACTTACAAACCAGTCCCTTTTGCTTCTCCCTTCTTCTGAACTCTACACATTCATTGGCAATGAGAATTTGATCCATTATTTTTCTCCCAAAAACAAAGGCCCCTTGATTTGGAGAAATCATTGAGGGAAGTACATTTTTTATTCTTAGGGCCAAAACCTTGGAAATGATTTTGTACATGCTTCCTATCAGACTTATGGGCCTAAAGTCCTTCGGCTGGATTATATCCACTTTCTTTGGTATCAAAAGCAATGAAAGTTGCATTTGCACCTGAGTTAAATTTGCCCCTCTCATAGAATTCATCAAAAACCTCCATCAGGTCACCCTATCTCTCGACAATCTTGATAGAATGCCATCGTAA